AACGCACATGTCCAGATTACAAAGCTATTCCATTTGGCACAGACTGTTCGTCGCATCCGTCCAAGGGACATGGTTTTCACCAAGGCCAGGTAGCGGTCAATGCTCACGAGTGTCAGGAAATAAATGCTAGAATAAAAGTTCATGTAACTCATAATGTTGACAGCTTTACAGAGAAACAGGCCAAAAGGCCAATCAAATTCATTAGAAATATTAATGGCCCAGAAAGGTAAAACACAGACCAACATTAGGTCAGCAAGGGCCATGTTTGCCAGGTAAATTTCAGCCACTGTACAGCTACTCTTGTGGAAACACAGTACAGTGAGGACAAAGGAATTTTCTATTGCTCCCAGAATAAATATAAACCAGAGGAATACAGGCTGATATTCATGTAGCCATCTCTCTACATCTTCATTAACACATTTAGATGAATTTATTTGATCCATGACTGAATTATTGTGGAAATCTGCTGGACTGACTGTGAGCTCCCGGGTGGTCGTGTTGTACAGTTGCGTAACATTTTCAGTTGTGATGGAAACCATTTCTGTGCAGAGAAAAATAGGTCACATGAGACTGCTGCATCTAACTTGCTGCAAAAGACACAGTAAGAAAAGCTGCCTCTGCTTCTCCTATTGTCCTAAAAGTGTAGCTTTTGAACAGGCTTACAACTCCCCGTGTTGCTTTCTCACAGGCACCAGATGTGCTTGCTGAAAGTTTCACAGACTGTACTGCTGAGGACTGTGTGGACCAATTTTGGGAGAGTGAAACAGAGGGGATGAAGCAACAATTGGCATTTTTATGAACAGATTAACTGAAGAGAACATTTACCAGCTTTTATTCAACAGAACCAAGCTGCAGCAAGTCTTTCTTAATTCTTTGAGGAGGTTCATCATTACTATGTCTTCTTATCTCTGTATATCGATAGCCATAGTCTCCTAAAGGGCAGATGTACCTGGTATCTCACATTGTTCATTGTTAAGCTGCTAGTTCTCTGTCATATCCCTCAACATTTTACACCCTCTTCTGTAGAGCAAAAATTGGGTGGAATTCAGTGGTGCTTCCTCCCCAAAGAGCACTGTATATTTTCCCAAATGTTATGATTGACACAACAGACATTTAGTTGTTAACTCTAGTTTGCACTGAGAAAGCTGCAAGAGCAAGGATCAGTGTTTGTCAGCACTGTGCCTTTCTCAGCTTCTCTCCAGAATTGTCTATGTATTTCTGTTTCTGAGTGTCTGCAGCTGAGTCACAGGAGTGGCAAGTGGTACAACGTTCATGTGGGAACTCAGTTCTGATAGGTGTGCAGTGGGGGTTGGCAGTCTGGCAGAGATGGTGACCATCACATAAGTCAGGACCTGTCTACAGTCAGGTTACAGTCAGCCAGCTTGGGTGCAAGAGCACAGAGTGAAAAACAGGTGCTGTACTGTAAATGTTCTACAGGTCAGAACAGCTTGAGATCTTACAGGGACCTATGTATGGGTATAAATGTCAGATGGGCACTTAAATGTTGCCAAAATCGAACAGAAGTTGAGTGTGCAGCATCACTCAGTACTGACAAAATAACTGTGTTTTTGTTGTTGTGATCTTGGGTAATGAATGCTGAGATATTATCCAAATCCAAAATTGGCTTCTCAGATCTGTCCATATAACTCTATGGAGTGGGTGACAGAAATACTGTTTATCTTTTTCCAGGTCTTCAAAGTACCACCTTTTAAATTATGGTTTGGAAACTTTTCAAATGTAGTTTTAATTAAGACACTTGTCCTAGTCAGCTGGTAACTTGGCAGTAAAAAGGGGCACATTAGTAATTCCTGAAAGGATGGGGTTCTCATTTGTATTCTGGTTACTGGACTTGTTGGTTGATGAGTGTCAGTGCTTAATATGCATATAGACATTTGGCTGTTGGTTATAGAATTACTGAAAAATGGTGGTTTGTATTAATAAAACAGTGTAGTGTCTGAAATCAAAAGCAAAGATGAAGACTATACCTTAGTAAGTACAGTAAAGCCAGTAACAAAGGAGAATCTCTCTGTAATGTAAAATTTTCAACAGGGGTGTCAGATAGGACAGGTCAACTGAATAAAACAGGAAGGTGGGATTGAGAACTTTGAAGAACAAGGCAACTTAAAATGGATTAATAAGCACAAAACATCAGCAATACATGTATCCAACCCTTCATAACCTGAGCAAAGGACAGTATTTGTGTTAAGATGGGTAACAACATATTCGCATTCTCCAGGTTCATCCTTCTGAAACACCAACTTTTCAAGCCCATATCTAAATGCAGGAACACGTTTTATTAGCCTTGCCATTGTTAGAACCACCTCAGTCTTGGGACACCTGTATCCTTTTGATTTACTGATGGTTTTCAACCAGCATCTGGAGAAAAGGTTGGTGGAACCCCAGCACTGCATGCTGTAGATAAACCTCCAGTGACCCCTACTTTTATTAACACTGGTTAACTGGAGCTTCTCAGTCTACTGGATATGGAGTTATTTGTTTTATACTGACAGTAAATGCTGTCTGCAGTGCATGCTGGGCAGCATTCATAATATTCTGATTTACGTACTCTTTTCTTCTTCTAGACATAAGCAACTAGTGCAGGTTGTAAATGCTTGGGTTAGAAATTTTATTTTTGTCTGAGCCTTTGCAGGCACAGTAGAGCTCATGTACCTTTGGTGCATTTTTATGGGACTTTATTTGTTCATATTTCAGTAGAATGAAATATCAGACAATACCAAAAGCCCCTCTGAAACCTGTATTTGCTTTTGCTTTATCCATTAAACCAGATTGGATTAGTCCAATATAACCTCATTCCTGACAAATGTGTATTGGTAGTTCATTATTACTTGGTTCTTCTTTATTATTCTCCATATGTGGATATGGAGATTTTTTACTGTCATGATTTCCAGGTATTTAATTCCAGCAATTAATATACATAATATAATCCCTGGGTACTGCTATCTGTGCCTTTTTAAAATATAAGTGTTGTGTTTTATCCTCTCCAAAGTTCTGAGATGTCTCCATTCTTCTTGGTTTCACAAAGCAAAGATTTCTCCTCCTGATTTCTGAACCACACCAGTGTAGGTTATACCCTACCACTTCACATGACTCCATATACTCTTTAAATTGTTCCTTCCCAGTTCACATACATTCAATTGTCCAAATCAATCACCTTAAATATCAGATCAGAGTTTCCATTTCTGAGAGAACTAACACCGAACTGTCGCTGAGCTTTGCATTATTCTTTGAGTTAATGCTTCCCTTTTCCTTTTGGTAACAGGCCTAGATTTTCCTCCATTATCCTTTTATTTTTGATATTCATAGGAATATTTTATGCTACATCCTATGTCTCATATTAACTGCAAGTCATTTTTGTCCTGATGTTTTTGATATCTTTGGTGGCCTGAGATCTTAAATAATGCCTCAGATCACCATACTTTTTTCTCATTATTCTTTCTATAACAAAGCCTGGCATCGAGGTGCTGGTATTCATCAACACTTAGATATCTCAGAGCCCAGCTTTTGTGGCTATGAGAGATGCCACTAACAAATTGAAAACAGCAGTTTCAAGTCTCTCTTTCTATGCACACTGACACTTTTCACTGTAGTGAAGTACTAATGGGTGATCAAAAAAGGTCATGTGGGAACAGAGAAGTTCTGTTAGGTGATGCAATTAGCAGAAGCTGTTTCTTCTGTTGTCAGCAGGCTCTGAACCATCAGAAAAAAATTAAGTATGTTATTTTATGCTTTGAAGATAGATTTATGCACATATTTAATAAGATGTTCATTAGTAATTCAGAGAGTGGTCATAAAGGCTATGTGGGCTTTTTCTATGATTTTGCCTTATTATATGACTAATAGAAAAACAATAAACAGGAATTAATTTACAGCAAATAGCAGCTCCAAAACTGCATAATGATTTATATTTTCCCTACAATTTATCTCTTTTAAATTTTGGTTTTAGAAGGAAAAAGCATGGAATAATTTAAAAAAAGTTATATCATATTACTGTGATTATCTAGAACAGTGTGCAGGGACTATTTAGGTTGTGATCAAGTCCATGACATGGGACTTCTGGCAACCTGCCTCCTCCGTCCTTACTTCAAGCCCTTCCATAAAGCATTGATAGAAATGGGGGACTGAGCAATGTAAAGTGTGTTAATGATCAATGTACAAACTGTAATATATAGGGTTAAGATGATGTGTTTAGTGCTATTCTGTATAACACAGGAAAGTCATTTAACGTATGTCTTTACTGAATAAATTATGAATGATAAAGCCACAAATAAGAAAAGGAAGTGATTTGCCATCTTATCATAGGTTGGTGAAAGTAAATGTGGTCCTTTCACACGTTCTCTACAAATACTTTCTGTGCAATGCAAGGCAGGACTAATATCCCAGCAGAGACTCTTAATAAGATTTTATCTGACAGTTTTGACTGAAACACTACCCAGCTGAAGTAATCATCACTGATTCTAAGGGATCCCTCTGGGGGCTGAATTTGACCCTGATGGTGTGCACCTCCTACTGTGAGTTACCTCCCCCTTGACAGTCACTAACCCCACCATCAGACATTATCTCACGTTGGTCTAGAATATTTTTGCTAATAACATTGGGTACAAAAGGCAACCTTTCCACGGAGGAGGGATGCAGGGTGCGCTGTGTGGGAGGCAATCAGCCCTGTGCCTCTTGAAGACACTGCCCTCACCAAGGGAGGAAGGCTTTGGGGTCAGCTGTGCAGGGATACTTTCAGTGAGTGATGGACAGATCCTGCCAAGGCTGCAAATGAAGAGCCCTTGCAGAGGGACTGGGAACAAGGGGCTAATCAGCTGTAGTTGATGGACTGTTGGATTGTCATTACAGGCAAGTGGAGAAAGACTCCAAAAAGGTGGTGGTCAAGAGTAACATAATCTGAAAGCTCTGAGGGCTGGGCAGGGTCGTTAGTGAACCTTGGTATTGCCTGGTAACCCTGTGGGATGTTGTGCTGTTCAAGGACTGACCTGTACATACTGCACTGGAGGGAGCATGCCAGGAGACAAGCATGAGTTTATCAGCAAGCCAAGGAGTCCAGGAGTGTGATTAATATTAGAATATCATGTGTGTAGGGAAAGTATCCATGCTATAGGCATACATGCTGGGGCCTGTGAAAGAAAAGAAGGGGAATATGATAAGATGGAGCAAAAAGCCCTTAAAAGATCAAGAACTGTGAGCTAAGGAATGTCAGAGCTCAGCTGATGCTGCTACTGGATCTGAGCAAGTTCCAGGGCAGTTTTACTCCCCAGATAGGGCATGATGCTTCAGATGGGTGTTTTTTACAATCTGTTTTGACTCTGGATGAAGCTCTACAGCTACTGAATTCATGACTCTATTAGTTTTACAACTGGTGTTAATCATTCCTTGTACTGTGCTAAACATTTGCTGTAAGCTAAGATATAGTGAATAACTTAAAGTCTTATGATGTTCTCAGTCATGTGTTATGCAAGGACAAGTTCTGAAATGTGTAATAAGTATTCAGGTTATTGCAATGTTACCTGCCATAATCTACGCCGTGGGAGTAAGGAAGGGACTTTGTAATGCATATTTTAAAGCTGTTGTGACTTTGCTGATTACACCTTGCTGAAACAAGGTGTGAAATTTCTAATTAGTGTATTCTGAGATTGTCATAATATTAACCTTGCCCATTTAGTCCTCAGGGACAAAAGTTGGTGCCTAAACCAGATAAATGCTATTATGGTGTTAACTGCTATAATGTGCTTTGCTGGAGGAAAAAGGGAATGTTAAAAAGCATGGGTACCCAATCCTGGTGTTATCCTGCAGAGTCCAATTTGCAAGGACAAAGAAAAGAATGGGCTAAAGGCCTCCCTTCTCCAAATGAGAGATTACTGTGATGGATGATCATTCATGATGAACGTCACCTAGAGAGCAGCTGTTTTCCATTCATTTCGGGGATTTCTCATCAAGGCCTTGTGAAGGATAGGTATGACACCCAGTCTGTAGCATCCTTCGTAGAATTTTACAATGACCTGGTTTGTTTTAAGTGCTATCGTGGCCAAAAGTGGTTTCAGATGCATACAGATGGCTTGCCATATATCCATACAGTTCCACATACAGCTGGGTGTCAGTGGCACAGAGGAGTGGAAAAGCTAGCAGGACAAGCATGGCTTTGAGTGAATGGCTGCAAACTGAGAGGGGCACTGGCTGACTTGTGACATGGTGCTTTTTTAGAAAACAGCTCAGCTACAGAAAGAAACAGCAAAACACCCAAGGACTGCCACAGCCTCTCCTCTAACTTTGCCTTTCTGTGCAGAGCCAATCCTGCTTTGACACTATGCATTTTTTGTGAGGGTTTGTCCTCCTGAATATCTCCAAGCCCAGCTTGGGCAGCCAGGTATTTGCTGGTGGTGCCTGTTAGCCTGGCAGCCTTGCTTCTTCGTGCTGGTGTAAAAGCCCCAAATTTAACAGAGGAGCTGTCAGAACCATGAGAAGAAAAAAGGTGTCTGCCTGACAGATCTGCTGTGACCGAAATGGGAACTATTAGGAGTTTGAAAGCTGCTGTAGGTAAGGGCGATCCCCAGCAGTGTGGTGCATGCAAGGAAACCTGTGTCCTGCTGACTCTGTGTGAGTACCACTGGTCCTCTCAGGAGCTTGGAGTGTAAGCCTAATAGAATCAGTTTTATTTCATAAGAGGTTATAGCAAAAGAATCTCAACGCATAATTTCTCCTTCAGCTCCACACCTACAGGTCTAGCAGGCCTGATGCACATGTGATGGGTAGCATAAGCAAAGGCATTGCTCAGCAAGAACCCAAAGGTGTGCTGGAAGACTGAGGTCAGCTTCTGTGTTGGACTTACACTCAGAGCTAAGTATCAAGGAAAATATGGACAAGATATTCTTTTTACAAATTCTTTCCCTTCTCCATAAGGATTATTGTCAAAGCTTCTATTTCAACCTGCTCTTCTTGCAACTTTTACTCTTGAAAAAAATCACCTTTGTCATCTCTCCCCAGGTCACTGAGACTCGTTTCCATCTAATCCAAACCCAATGGGACTGCTTGTATGCCTCTTTGTGGCGATAAAATGGTTTTGATTTGTATCCTTGCCTGGCTGAATGTGGAATTATATCACTCTTGTGGCATTTCTGAAATGTGTTCGGAAATGTTCTCAGAATTCCTTTTAATTCTGTTTTACTGTGGAGCCATTAATTATTTTTGAGAGATAAAGGAAGTGTCAGAAACATTCCAAAAATGTTCTGCTTTTACTGACCCCCTGACTTTAATTTTTAATTTCCGATTTTTGTGTAATGAATCTCTAATGGGGTTTAGCACATTTGAGGTTGCAGATCAACGGACATTGTTGCGGCAATGTTAACTTAAATGTTTCCTGGTCTTCATTCACCCTTCACTGTCCCTTTTACCTTACAGCTGCCCTTACAGCTTGTGAGGCTTCACGTTGAACCAGATTCAGGAACTTGACTGGGGCAGAAACAACCTTGCAAAATAAAAAGTTTTTTTTAACTCAAATTAACCCCATAATTTGTCAGAAAATTAAGGCAATAAAGAAAATATATGGAGGAGTTACTTCTCAAAACTATAATTTTTAGATACTCTTCAGTGTGTAAACTTGAAGCACATAATGGAAAGAAGCTCTTGCTCTGCTGTTATCATTAAGGGCATCTACATCAACTGTGTTAGGAAAAATGGGAAAAAAAGTTGTTCTGTTAAAATAATTATTTCAATAACAATAGGACTAAGGTGAGAAGAGGCTACTAATTTTTTTCCCTGGGTGGGAGATGAAGCCACTCAGTTCCAATATAGTCTATTGTAATCAACTAAAGAAAGGTGTGGAGAGAGCACAAGCCTAATCAAGTGCAGTGAAGCACTTGCCATAACATTTTTTTCCCAAGTAGAAATTTTGAATGTTCTTAGTTTAGACTCTCCAGGGTTATAAGTTCCTGAAAAAATCCCACACCTTTTAGCCTTAAATAACCTTGTATGTTGTTCTTCAATGCTTTTTATACATCCCATTCAATAACTGGGATGATTCTGACAAAAGATATTATCTCTGTGTAAAACAGTTATAACTAAAATGGAGAAGAACAGAATGGCTGGACTGCAGTGAGAGGTGGAAGAAGGAGGAAAATATGAACTGGTTCAGAGAGAAGTGCTGAATATACACAGGACATTTGTATATAGAAAAAAGACTGTTCTCATTATGAACAAGGTGTTGATTTAGGTCAGATTTGGTGATGATATTTGAATCACAGTCCATGTTTGACCTCTGACTTGGCGCTGTCGATATTTGAGAAACTTTTCTACTGAAAATGCCCTTCAAAATGTTGCAAATCTCACGAGAGCTGGATGTTGCTGAAAATGTCAGCAGATGTTATTCTGAAAGAGCAGTTTTAATACAATAATTCTATTTAATCTGAAACAGAAAATAATAAATTTAACATTAGAGGCTGTTTCAGGATCAAAACACAGGATCTTCACTTTTCTCCAGGCACTAAATCATTAAATTTCAGCCTTGTCATTCTCAGAAGTATTAAGACCCAGCTGGATAAAGCCTAGAGCAGCACAGTCTGATTTTGTAGCTAACCCAGCTTTGAGGAAGAGGTTGTACTACAGACCTTGCAAGGTCTTCCAGCCTGCATTACCCTAAACTCCTTGATTTGTGCTTCTTGTGCTAATAAATGGAAATTCCAGTTAGATTAGGGCCATAAAAGAAAAATCATAGAATCACAGAATGGCTTGGTTGGATGAGATCTTGAAGATTATCTAGTTCTAACCCCCCAGAAACTGACAGGAAACCTTTCACCAGATCAGGTCACTAGTTTCTTAAAAGCTGAATTTCAACAGCAAGTGCTCTAGCTTGTTGGATTTTCCCAGCTCACTGAGGTGCCCTTGTTCAATGAGGCTCCTTATGAAGCTGTGGAGGTTTTTTTGAGACCACTGTGGGAACTGGCCTTCCCTAAAGTTATATAAATTATTTTTATTTTTGGGGCACAAAAGAGACTCATCTAAGTCACAGAAGGGACAAGAGAAAAGGGTTTTTATGTTAATGGAGTTTTCAGAGGAGGACAGAAGGCAGCCTGGGTGCCAGGAAAGCAGAACCTGAGCAGCTAGAAGTTGAGAGAATACTGGAGACTGTTAAATGCTGAGTTAGTCTTCTGCATCAGGACTACCATGTGCCACACTGGGCTGTTGGAGCAAACTTTCAACATGCATGTACTGTTCTGTTTACCTTTCTAGTCTTTATGTTGCTTCAGTTAGGTGGTTTGAAATGAAAGAAAATGCCAGACAGAGTAAAAGATCTCGAATACTTAAGCAGGGGCATTCAGGCAGTGAAGCAGGAGGGATGCATAGGAAATTAAAACAGAAATCTACACTTATTGACAAATTGGTCTGGCACAATAATAGGGAGTTTTGCCTTTCTTTTCACAGAAGACCTGAGGAGTTTTTCAGGAGAAAAGCAAGATACCCTGGATTTTCTGAAGCACTCCCTAACCTTGCTGGGGCTCCTCTACCCCATGATCTTAGCACTAGCATTAGAGGGTGGGAGCCATAACTCCCACTGTGAAAAAAGAAAATCTTTAGGAGTAATAGAGCACTATAGAGACTATAAAACAGAGCATTATAGTTCTAAAATGAAATGCAGAATTATAGCAGAAAAAGACATGGAAAAGAGTCTCCTGGGAATAAGTCCTTTAAAACAATCCCAGTTTTCAGACCTCAGAGCTGGCGTAAAGCCTATCTATAGTTTAGCTTTTCATAACTATCTCAAGTATGCTAAAAACGTTCAGCAAGAAATAGCTTTTTAAATTAACCGCTTTCTTTGAAGAAATATTTTCTCTTCCTTCTCAGAATTAGGGTGAAGAGAAAACACACATTTAATCAGAAATATACTGCCATATAGCTCTGATCATCTAAACTTCCTATTGTAATATTTATAAATGCCATGTATTATGGCATTACAAGTCAACAGTAATTTTACTAAGAGGACTTTACAAATGTGAGTGGGTTCAGTCTCTCAGAACTCTTTTTCCTGTTAAAATTTCTCAGGTGGTCCATTATGAGGCTACATGGGCTCTTCCAGTCAGTGGTGAGCA